CCTAACTCGCTCGGTGCCTAGTATTTTTAACGCGTTTGCGCCCTTGGGCTACCTTGTGCTTTTGCGACCCGCTGCACAAAGGGGCGTGGCGGGGCGTGGCGGGCAGCGATCGAGGGGTGTAGTGGGGCGGGTGGGGCGTTCGTTCAGCGCACAGCGAAGCTCAGCTGAGCGAAAAACCGGTCTCGTGGTGAGGCGGGGCTGGGGCCGCGGCCGGGGCGAGGGCAGCGCCCGGTGGTACCAGCGGCCCGGAGCTGGGGCCCCGAGGGGGCAGGCAGGTGTTTGGTGTCCGCGGAAGGCAGGGGTAAACGTGGACAGGGGGCGAGGGGAGTAGGGGGGCGGGTTCGTCCGGTCGACCGCTCTGCCGCGCCAGCCCGGGTGCGCCTCTGTTCTCTTGCCCGCCCCTTCCCGGTGAGTCCCCCTGCTCAGCTCTCGACTCAGCTCGCCGGGCTCGGCTCGACTCGGTCGGGCTCGGCTTGGCCCCGCCGGCCAGAAAGTGTACTTTCGCGCTCAGATGCCCCGACAAATAGAGTGGAATTCCCCGATGGGTTGCGAAATACGAGCTCCATCCCCGGGTGGGCAGCTGCCGCCGGGGCTCAATCCCCAGCTCGCCCGGGGGCGTTGCAAGCCCAACCCCACCGTGTAGGGTTAGGTAAATATACGTTACGGGGGTGAAAATAAAAAATGTCCGCGCGAATCCCCTCGTCGTCCTCTTCCTCCTCCTCATTCCGCTTGTCCCCACGCCGCACGATGGCGCTCCGATCCGTCCTCACGGCCTTCCTTTTGTCCTCCGCGTTCTTTTCATGTGCTTTTGTATCCCCCCCCCCCCCCCCCACCCCCTGCGGTCCCCTCCTGTCCTGTCCGTCCATCTCTCCTCCCCCCTCTCGCTGTAGAGGATCGATCACCAAAACATTGTCTACACCGCTGCCCAGCTAGCACGGGGCCCCCTTCCTTTCCCCCGGACGCCCCCTGCTTGAGCCTTTGTACTGGCACCCCGCCGAGGTGTAAGCCCCCGAGTACACTTGAAGACCCCCCAGAGGGTGCTCACCTGCGCGCCGCGCCGTTGCCGCGCGCCCTCTGGCCGTGCCTTGGCCCCGGCCCGGCGCGCTGCGCCAACGCGTGTCGAGTTGACGTCCTTCAGCTCAGCGCTGCAGATACGGACGTCGGCGCCCCGGCCCAAAGTGTCGTCGCACGGGGCGGCCGGCCGCCGGCCGGCCGGCCGTGTTCACCGACGCCATCGCCTTCCTAAAATACGCGGCTTTGGCCAGGCCTTGCCCGACGATTGAGTGCCAGCCGGGGAGGCTTCTCTGCCCGATCCGACCCGACCCCCGACCTTGGGGTCGGCCGGGTCGTGGCGGCGGCCTCGAGGTTGGTGTCGTTGGCGCGCGGCGGGCGCGGTGGGCGGAGGCAGGAAGGACTCTGCCCCCGCCCGGCCCGACGCGTCCGCCGAGCACCTCAGTTCTTATTCCATGCATCTCCTGGAATGCAGACGGCTCCCTTGTCCTGCTCGGCGTTTGCACTCGGAGAAGAGCGCGCCTCCCGCCCGGGACGTTCACCACTTCCCAACAGCGCCACGGACCAGCTCCTCTCCCCCTCCTGGGCCGGGAGATGGCCCGTG